ATAAGTAATTTTGGTAAGGACTTTGATAATTAGTTGTATTCATGGAAAAGACAATCTAAAGTCAATGCTTTCTTAAGTGTTAAAGGTGCTATTTATCATATTTCTGGGTTCTTGAGTTGATGATTTATGGTTTATGTTACCAAATTTTCGAGTAGTTAGATTTATAACTATTGTCTTACTCTTCCTAGACTTTGTCTCAATATACCAACAGGAAAGCAGAGTTTGTCTACACATGGGTAATATGGGCAATGACTGTTTCAATTGGAGTGAGTTCTTCGAGACTACACCACTGATCAAATGCTTTTATTGTTCATTATTTTGTGTGGTTTGATTCAAAAGAAAATTCTGTTTGGAAAATAAACTTTTTTTTTTTTTTTTGGAGAGATTTTCGCTATAGGGCGCTTGCGCTCGCCAGACAGACAGAGAGAGACATTAGAGAGAGAAAGCAAGAAATCACCCCCAAGGGGGGATGGTCACGCAGCAATCCCCTCTCTTCCATTCTCCTCTCGGGATCTTGGGCACGCACGCACGTGCGCCCGGTGTGAGTTTTAAGCCACCGGGTCTAGGACACGAACCGTGGTCGACTACGTGGGAGTCCAGCAACATAGCCATTACACTAACTGCCAGTTCCCTGGAAAAGAAACTTTTAATTTAGAAAAGGAACATTTTAAATAATAAAATTAATAATGGCTATTACATAAGCTTCAGTTAATGTTCTGAATTAGTATTAACTGGCCAATCACTTCAAACACTAGGTGTTAGCATGGGCGGGCTAAACTTGGAGCAGATGGGAAGAAGAAACACTATTTCAGAGCATAGAGGATGATCTCTATAAATAATTTTAGAAGATTGTTTGCATTCCTATAAGCTAAAGGTAAAACATGATTGGTCATGTTCTCTGTTTTATCAGTGGACACACAGCTATTATTTTAGAGGACTCATTTACACTGGTAAACGTCAGTTGTAGGCACACACACATAGCATTACATGACACTCCAGTGCAGTAATTACAAACCACTGTTCCTGTCTTACCACACAGACGTGTCTGCAAAAGGAGGAGTTAATGATTAAGAATGAATGATTCCTATAAAATATAAAATAAAATAATTAATAAAAAGAGAATGATTCCTAATTCTTGAATGATCAAGAATACTTTCTAAAGGTAGGCACATGTTAGGTATTGACTAATTAGACTATTTCAATAGAATCAATTGATTCCATAAAAATGGGCAGAGACACTAGATGTAGCTTTTAAAAATACAATACAAACTCTTTTTTTCAAGTGAAGTAAGTGTTTCTGTTAGTCAAGATGGATCAATCTGTATGCATATTAAGACAGACTTATAGAGGAAGAAGGGTGGGTTTTGAAGTGAACATATATAGAAATGAATGGAGATGATTTCCCATGAAACCAGAGCTGCATGAGCCGCCTCGTGGCAATTAGGTCCTGTACCCAGGGGCCAGGGCTTACTACAAAGACCAACATGTTCATATTCATATTCCAGAGAAAATACCTTATGAGAATAATATGTGGAATGAAAAAGAGAAAAAAAAAGGTGTCAATTCTCCCTTATTTACCCATATTATTAGCCAGAGCAAAGGAATTTGACACATCATACTCTAGTCTCTTAGGCAATGTCCATTAGAAATTATTTTGAAATCCCAGCTTCAAAAGTAATTTCTACAGGCAGAAAAAATATTGGGAAGAGTTTGTATTCACAAAAATAGTCACCTGGGTCAATCTCTGTGGTTCTCTAATGCATGGGATGCTACAAATAACTCTGAACTCAGAGCCTGGACATGTGATTTGTAATTTAAAATCAGAGACATATTTAAGATCTTGCTCCAAATGAAACACTGATGTGGAATGAGGAAGCATCCTTGTTGAGAAACTCAGACTCATTCAGATGGAGAAGCCTACCTGAGATACTTTACCCCAAACTAACTACCATGTTCATGTCTAACACACACAATTCTATACCTGCCTCTCTTTAAACTGAGTTCACTCTTCTCCCACACCCTCTGGGGGCTTCTTTCTGCCTATCTCAGCATTCCCACTCAAAATTCTACCCATCCTGTAAGTCTTATCTCAAAGGACACCTTTTGCAAAAAAGATTTTTCCATCATTCCAGCTAAATTCTTGTTTTTCTCTTCTATATTTTCAATCTTTGGGGGCAGGTGGTGGAGCAGTGGCAATACAACTGGACCCACATGGGAAAAGTCCTAGGTTTGCGTTCCCAAGACTTCCTGAGCATGTTAGGAGAGTCTGTGCCCGTGATCTGGGCTAGCTGAAACTGGAGATGGAATGTAAAGACCCAGATGGAGGTGTTGGTTTCTTTGTCCTTCTTCTCCTTCTTCTTCTTTCTCTTCTTCTTTTTTTTTCCTTCCTCTTTTTTTTTTTCCCTAGAGGAAGGAAGGAAGAAAAGGACAAGGACAGAGAGAGAGAGACAAAAAGAAACAAACTTAAAAAGTATTTCACACTTTGAACACTCTTTAAGTGTACAGACATCAGGGAAGGAAGAAGGAAAAGAAAGTTTTGTCATGTGTTCAAGATTTTTAACAAAACTTAAAAATAATTTTTATTACTTCATTGCACTGCATATATAATGCATATTAATTGAAAATAAAACAACAATAACATACTAATAATTTAGTGTATATCCTTTCATTAATTTCACCAAATGAGTGTTTATATACAGATATATAACACCTTTTTTTTTTTTGAGAGAAAGGCTTTTGCTATAGGGCACGTGTGCTCGCCAGAGAGAGACAGAAAGACAGAAAACGAGAAATCACACCCCCCCCCCCAGGGGGGATGGCCACGCCACAACCCCTTCTCCTCTGTTCTCCTCTCGGGATCTTGGGCACACACGCATACGCACCCGGCATGAGTTTTAAGCCACCGGGTCCAGGATGCGAACCATGGTCAATTACATGGGAGTCCAGCTAACTGCGGGTCCCAATGTTTTTTTTTTTTTTTTTTTTTTTGAGAGGTTTTTCCTATAGGGCGCATGCACTCACCAGAAAGACAGAGAGAGACAGAGAGACAGAAAGCAAAAAATCACCCCCCAGGGGGGATGGCCACACTGCAATCCCTTATCCTCCTTATTCTGCTCTCAGGATTTTGTTTTGGGAATGCATTCACATGTGACTGGCATGAGTTTAAGCCACCAGGTCCAGGACTTGAACCACAGTAGACTACATGGGAGTCCAGCGACATAGCCATTACACTAACTGCTGGTCCCATAGAAATATAGCACTTTTTTTTTTACAAAAATAAGGTCCCATAGTAGAATTAATTTAAACTTTATTTTATTGATTGTTATAAGTATATAGATTTCCACATTTGTAATAAAATTTTTCAATGGTTGTATAATATTTTATTGTATGGAGATAGCAATTTATTTAACTAATGCCTTATTCTGGAACATTTCAGATTTTTTCTCATATTTTGTTATTATAAACGTCTTTATAGGAAAAGTATTTTTATATATCCTTCAATAATATTTATTTGGCACCTGTTGTTTTCATAGTCATGTGTGATAGATATTCCATTAGTATTTTCTTTGGAAGAATTAATGAAACTTTCAAAATTTGCATCAAAATGTATAAATACATTGAGGTATTGACTTCCCAATATTCCACTTCAAATTAAAATGAATATATATATATATATGTTAAAAAGATATACAGAGTTATATATAATAAATAATGTAATATACAACATAATATGCAATAATAATTATATATATTCCATATATATTTAAAAAATCTTTGCCAATGGGCTGGGGAAAACCATTTTTTATTTACTTGATTTTGAGTGGGATTTTACACTTCAAAGTGTGTTTTTATCATTTTCTTTTCTTCTGTATAAAGTAAATTTTCAGGCTTTGTACATTTATTGAAAAACATATGCATTCATCCCCTTTATTTACCCCTTTATTTATTTTTCCTAATTATTAATTTGATTTTATTTATCATTTTTTAAAATTTGATACAGGGCATGTGTGCTCATCATACAGAGACAGACAGAGAGAGAAAAAGAGAGAGAGCGAGAGATGAGAAAGTAAATCACCAGGTCCGAAACTAAAATTGCAGTCTGCTACGTGAGAGTCCAAGGGTGTAACAACCACACCACTTGCTGGCCACTTGGAAAACTTTTTAATATATTAAACAGATTAATTAAATTATTTGTCTGTCACTATATTAAAAATACTCCTCTCAATTTTTTTTTTTGTTTGTTTTTTGCTCACTTTTTTTTTTTTTTTAAAAACAGACTTAAAAAGTAATTTACAAAGTCGAATCTGTTAGTCTTTTAGTTAGGGTAGGTAGTCAGGCATAAGCAGGGAGAAGAAGACCTTGAGGTCTGTTGGCACTGCCCATGGTACTAACCATGGCAATATGTCAAACCATCCTTTGCTTCCTTTGTGGTTAGGTACACCCTGCTATTCAGGTAGGGGACAGCAGAGAGGACCTTATATAATTTGGAGCATGCTCAGTACTGAAGAGAGGAAGCTTTTATAACTTAAAGGAATCTTGTGTAACTTGGAGTATGGTCAGTACTGTGCTTGGTTACCTTCAAATAACTTTTAGCTTATTAACATACTATTTGCATTGATTCATGGGAAATTATTATATAACAAGACCCAACTGAGTATGTACTGAAATGGAAAGAGGAGAGCTGAGATATGGAAGAACACAACACAGAAACCTGATGTCTACTGTCTATGAAGAGAACCAGCCCCCGCTTACCTATCAGGAGTGTACTTTCACTTCCGTTTTTCCCTGCTCTGTTCTTTTATCCTGCTATAAAGCTTTGTTCCACCATACATTGTCTCTTGGCTGAATTCTTTCTTTCTAAAAGACAACTCTTTTTCCTCCAGTTGTCTGTCCTGTCAAGATCTTTGGCATGCACTGGTACATTAAGCATGCTTTTCCAACCTATAAGTCCAGAACTCAAATCCTAGTCTGCCATATAGGATCTGGTTTCCTCTGTGCAGTGTGTAACTGAAGCACTACAGACCACTTCTACCCCTATTTGGGAAAAGTTAAATGGAAAGTGGGAGACAGCATGTAAAACATCAACTGTGATCCAAGAGAAGATGTACACCGAAGAGGAGATAGTGGGCAATGGGATGGAAAAAGATTACCTGACCGTCTGTGTATGAGTGTGTTTGTGTGTGTGTATGTGTAAGGATGTGAAGAATGGTCTCATGATGTCTCTTTCAAGGGCATTTTAATGGATGGGCTGTTTGTTAAAAATTGTTTAGTCTTTCTCATTGGTAGAACACCTTGGGAAAGCAATTTTGTTGAGGGATTATAGAAGTTAGGCACACAGGACATGATTTTAGAATAGTATAAATGTTAAGTTGCAATAGAAGATGGGACAACATCAGAACATGGGAACTATTTTTCTGATGCTACTGAATTATTTTGCTTTTGAGATCTCATTTTTATAAACCTGTATATCCAATACTCCTTAGTACTGAAAAGCAAAGAATCAGAAAGGAAAATGAGGGGAAAAATTGACTAAAGGAGAGATTTCTTTATTTGCTTTTGGTAGTCATAGGAAGAGTCATTGCATAATGGCTATGTCGCTGGACTCCCATGTAGTAGACCGCGGTTCGAGTTCTGGACCTAGAGGCTTAAACTCAGGCCGGGCACGTGTGCGGCGTGTGTTTCCAAGATCCCGAGAGGAGAATGGAGGAGAAGGGATTGCGGCATGGTCATCCCCCCTGGGAGGTGATTTCTTGCTTTCTATCTCTCTGTGGGGGACACAAGCGCCCCGTGGAAAAAAAAAAAAAAAAAAAAAAAAAAAAAAAAAAAAAGAAAGAAAAGAAAAGAAAAAAAACTCTCAAAAAACCCCCCCCAAAACAAAAAAACCTCTTCCCCCCCAAAAAAAAAAAATCTGGTGCTTCTGTGTTTTATATTCTTGGTACCTCTCAAATCTATTCACTTTCTTGCATTCTCACTACTTCAAAGCCACTAGCCTTTCTCCCATGGTTTATTGCAAGAGCCCACTAAATTGCTTGTCTCAACACTTGCCGAACAACCCATCTATTTTCTACACTATAATCTTTCTGAAACAAATCTCATCTTGCTTCGTCTCCTCCCCAGTGTTTTCAAGCCAGAGACCAGGCTTCATAATGTGGTAGGTGAGATCCTCTGAGCCCTTCTTGTCTAGTCTCATTATTGGCCCAGTGTCCTCATAGCTACTCTTCATGCTCTAGTCTTTTGCACTCTTCCTTGTGTCTAAATTCCTTTAAGCATGTTTGTGAAGAATTCCTTGAATGCCCTCCCCATCAGTTAAGGTTGAGTGCTCCTTCTATGGGCTTCCGTGGCACAGAGGATGTGTTGTATTGAAATTTTGTACTTGCCTGTCTGAAATAGAGCTACTGAAAACTAAGCTTCCAGAGGGCAGATACTCTATGTTATAGACCATTGTCCATGATACTTAATCATATAGTAGGTGCTCAATATAAATTTATTCATTTGATTAATAAATTGCAATGCATACTAGAATGTTAAAGAAAAGTGTTCTGTCTAGAAAGGCTGTGTCTATCAAGCACTCACATACTTTCTAACTCAATTCTCTCTTTTATCTCTTTTCTAATATTTCTTTCATGTATCTCCAAACTTCCTTGAAGAAAGCAGTAAGTTTTCTTACCATCTCTGTCCTCCATTTTCAGGTTTGATTTCTGACTGACCCAGAACATGCACGGCTTTGCTAAGGGAAAGGAATATAGATCTCTTAAACTTTCAAATAATGATAGAATATCCAGGCCTCTTTGCCATTCCGTCCTTTATCTAATCGCTGTTTGTGCTTCCTATTTATTCTTTTTCCACTTTGTCCATGAAAGCAAAGAAGACATAGTGGATATTTCTCTCAATTTTAAAATTTATTTTATTCATAATGGCATGTGCACATGTGAGACAGAGAGAAAGACCCTTTCCAAAATGGTCTTGTCACGTGACTGTCTCCTTTACCCAACCCCTTCCACCTTGTCAGGATCTTGGGTACACACCAGGCATATTTTCAAATTGACCCTGAGGTGAATACAAACCTACAGTTGGTCAAGTGTCTTCTAGCACTGAAGTTCAGTTTGCTACTGACTGCACCACCAGGGTAGGCCTTAAATGGGGCTTTCTGCTTCTCATATGCTGTTTCTAGAATAAATTCACTTGCTTTCCCTGTCTCTCATTTTCATGAAAGTGGCAGATGTCACTATGCAAAATTAATAATTTTGTAATCAGAATTATGATTTGACTGCTAAGACAGAATGCCAAGATATCTTGCATTTTCTAACATTAGTAAGGTTAAAAGAGTGCTTAGCTACTTGCACTGTTTACTTCATTTTTGTGCCATTTTATAATAATAAAATACTTCTGCCTATGTGAGGGTCTCAGACTCATGTTTAGATTTGTAAGGTAATAAGTTCAAGGAAAACTTAGCTGAGGACATTCTACTCCAACTACTCTGCCTCAATGTTTATACTTTATATAAAACATGGGGATAATATTATAAAATTTATACTTTTACATTTTTACAAGGCCTTGATAACAAAGAAGATCACATCCATACATTTGAAAGTGGCACTTATTTCCTCACATGGAGGATAAGTAGACTTTTTATGATGTCTTCATGTATTTAATTGGTTTTGGCACATCAAAATTCAGACCCCTCAATTGAACATGTAAATATTTGGAGACTGTGAGTCTAATAGTGATTTTAATTTTAATAGTTTTATGATAAGACCTTTCCAACAGGACTAAAGGAATGTCAAATTCAGTTTATATGCCAGGTAAATGTTAAGTGTTGAAGGTCTATAATCTTTCAACGCATTATAGCTGTGTTGGAAAGAGCAATATTTCATACTGTATATTTATTTAAATTTATACTCTCCCACATTGGCATTAGTTTTCATCTTTTTAATCTCATTCTCATATTTTTAAGTAGGAATTAATGTCGTAGTTCCTGTTTTATGAATAAATAATCTCAGATCTTCTATGGGAATATAGTTGCTTTCCTTTGCATATAGAATCTAGGCTAAAGTAAAATAATTTCCATCTTGACTTACTTTTAGAAATGAGTCTGTGCTAAGGTATCTTCCAACTAATATTAAGAATTCTGGGGGACCAGCAAGTGATACAGTGGTTAAAGCACTGGATTCCCACGAAGTCAACCATGGTTTGAGACCTGGACTCGGTGGCTTGAAATTCAAACCGGGATGTGTGCGTGTGTGCCCAAAATCTTGAGAGGAAAATGGAGAAGGGATTCTAGGATGGCCATTCCCCATGGGGTATGTGTGTGTGTGTGTGTGTGTGTGTGTGTGTGTGTGTGTGGTTTCTCACTTTTTGTCTCTCTGGCGAGCACGCATACCCTATAGCAAAAATTTCGCTCTCTAAAAAAATAAAAATAAAAATAGAGTTTATGAGGATACTATCTTCCAGCTTTTTAGGACACAACACTTCAAATTATCCTAATCTACTCTCTTTTACATCTATGCTATCAGCTCCTGGAAAATTCCTTCTTTGTTATATAAAACTGTCTGCAGAGATGAACATTACTGCTACCAACATGGAAGCTTCTTGGGAAGGGGAATATTGTGCTTTTTGATGGTAGTCTATCTCAGATTTCCACTGTCAGTATGAATGAGTGAGTGCCTATTTGACACTGTTGTCTCACAGATAACAATTGTAAACTCTGACAAAAATACACTCAAAGACAACCTGAAAGTACTAATGAGTGGAAAAGCAGGCAGATTTGGGAGGAGAGTCAATGGTGGGAAGAAGGGAATAGCATGGGTGAGTTGCCCATTTTGTATGGTTTAAGACTGAGGGCAGACCCAAGTTAGTGCCCTGCTGAATAGCTAAAACTCCAATAGCTGATCTACAGTATTTCTGGAATTGAGCATCAGAGGCTAAAGTTTAGGGCAATCACAAGATGAATGAGGAGACAATCCTGGAAAGGAGAGTCAGAGAGAACAACTAGTTCTGTGTATAGATTCTTTCCAAATCTGACTGACCCCTTAACACATGCATGAGATAGACTCAAATCTCCTCAACTAAGAGTCAAAGAACCAAACAGGATTTTAAGTTATAATTTGTAGTTTGGATTAATCTAGTTAATTCCCTGCTAAAACAAAAATCCTTTTCAGAAGGTCATAAAATAACCTAAAGTTTCTATAATATTAATCATACCCAGATAAAATCCAAAACTATTCACCTTGCAAAAAACTAGTAAAATGTGACCCATTTTCAGAAGAAAAGATAAACAATGGAAATCAACCCTAAAGAAATCTATGTTTTGAAATTTGGTGACAAAAGATTTTAAAGCAGTTATTTTCAACTTTTTGCCAGCCAACTCCTAGATCTGTATCTTTTCAAGATAGCGTTTTGGAGTTTCATTTTCTTTCTTTGATTGGACCACATTTTCTTGTCTGCCTTGTGACATGTTGGTGAGATTTGGGCATTCAATAAAACAATGACCAGTGGCTTAAAACTCACACCGCGCACGTGTGCGTGTGTGCCCAAGATACCAAGAGGAGAATGGAGGAGAAGGGATTGCAGCGTGGCCATACCCCCTGTGGGGTGATTTCTCGCTTTCTGTCTTTCTGTCTCTGTCTGTCTGTCTGGCGAGCACATGCGCTCTATAGCGAAAAAACCTCTCCAAACAAACAAACAAACAAACAAACAAACAAACGAAACATACGGCACTATTCACCTGTTTCCATGTTAGCGAGAATTGATTGAAAGAGGAATTTGTGTGAGATTTAGAAGACTAGAGTGAGGATCTGCTATTTCTCTCTGAAGGTTATTGTGCTTATATAGTGGACACTGAGGTATCACTGGGTTCTATGTTATCTTCGATCCTACCTATTTCAAATCCAGGTCCACCTTCAGATTCTCGGCAGCAAATCCACAGATGTGTTAGCAACATAGAGGCAGTGTCTGATCAACCTTCTCACAAGTTTTCCCTTCATAGTCTAATTTAGATTGTGGAATGTTCTAGACTTCTCAGATTGACTTATTGATGATTCCCCTGGGCTCCCAACTTCCCTCTTAGACCTGTACTTTCTCACTTTCCCCACAGCGATGTAAGATTTAGTTTTTATTTAAAAAATCCTTTCCCATAGTTCACTGTGGTTCTAAATCCTGTATGAACCCTGGTGGATATAGTACCTCATTTTCTTATGTAATTTTAATAGTTGTTTATTGTTATTGATTTCCATTTCATTTTTAAAAATTATGTTATGATTAGATAACAGTTTATTTGTCCTTGAATTTTTAGAAATTTTTAAGATTATTAAGAAATTATTAAGATTATTTGTTACTCACAGAATAGTATTTTTATAACTATTTTAGAAAATTTCAAAACAATATACATTCTATGCTTTCTATTAACAATAGATTAGTAATTATGGTAATAGTATTTACCATTTGTCTGATTTTTGTTTACATTAACCATCAAGAGAAATATATATATTTATATGCATATACCACTATTAGGTGTGATGAAATTAGTGTTATGAAAAAAAGCATTATAAAAATGTAATAGAATAAAATAAAATGATAGAGAACATATATCTGTACCGATTGTAGTAAGGACAGAAATTAGTTTTATTGAATGTTTGTGTGGATGTACTACAATACAAAGTGCATTTATTGTAGATTGTTGTAAAAATATTGGAAACACCTAGTGTAAAAGGCACCAACCTATTCATGCTCTTTCTGTGCTACAGAGTTCAAACTCAAGGGCAGTGCGAAAAACACAAGTTTCTTTCATTCTTCATTGTCAGAGATTGATCTCTGGTTAGCAGGAAAGTAATAACCATTCTAAATCTGTATTAATGGACTTTTATAAGTCAGACCCATTAAGACTACATGCTCATGAGGTATGCCCTTAGATAACCTATCATCACTTTGTATGTAACAGCCACTTACTTAATAACCAATTGAGAGATGGATACTTTCATGGATAACTTGGTTATTTCATCTTTGATGATGTTGTAATGGTTTTCATGAACATATCTTAAAGACTACCATTCCCAATTAACTAATAATATCAGCACCCACACTTTAGACATGGTTTTATGATAAATATGAAGACTTCATTTGTAATGAACTTTGGTTAAAGATTTCAGTAGCCAAAATCACATGAATTTTGGTAAGGCTTTTAATTTACCTAAAAGACAGAAAAATATCTCTTAGTCATTAAGAATATAAATCCCTAAAAAGGTACTTGGAGGTATGAAATAATTGGAAAACACACTAAAATTCTGTACTTTTATAAATGTTTGCTTCTTAATTTATAGAAAGATGGAAAGTAATTGAAAATCAGTAATTTGAGACACTAATTGCAATTACTTAAGTTGAAATTAGCATAAAAATTTCTTTTATGAACAGAGGCAAAATAATACAATAAAATTTAAATGAATGCATAATAGAATGCTATTTGAGTAAAGACTGGAACACTTTGGAGACTTGACAAGAAAATGATTGATGAAGTGTCAAATTTAGTTTTTAAAGCAGTAAAATAAATACTATTGAGATAAAATAAGAACTAAAATTTAAAATTAGTCCATAGTCAGATGATCAAGAAACAATTCTTGTAAAAGAATGTTAGGTAATCTCCTGATCAAGTTTTATTTAAATAATGTTCCTATATTTTTAAAAAATAATATTCCTAAAATTAATACAACAGATAATTTGTAACTCTATACATTAAGTTTTTTCTTATACCCAAGGAAAAACGTCCTGAGGAGACATGGCCTTGATTCTTGGTCAAATAATTTGTAGGATTTCTTTCTTTTTTTTTTTTTTCATTTCATGGACTTAGCATTACCAGTATTTAGCATTTCAATTTTGAACAGATTTCAAAATAAATCAGCAGACACATTGAGACATTGGTTATTTTCGACAAGTGTCAGATAAATGAATATTTTAGGAGATTCTGACACTGTGCCAAATGTCTTTAAATCTAAATTATAGAGTCTTTTTTTTTTTAATGAAACCTTGAGCTTTGCCAAGAGGTACATTTTTATATTGTTACCAATTACTACATTCAAAAGACTTGTCTACAAAGAAATTGATAGAGGGCAGTCAAGTCTTTTGCACTGCATAACTTATACCATTAGGTGTCGGAATATGGATTGACTTGTTCTCAAGACTAAAAGTTAAACATAACTGAGCGCTAAATACCATGACAAATGAAAGTCCTGTGCAAAGATCACAAGACAGCATACAGCAAATGGAATTTCTAAAAAACTCACTATTCTCTAATATACACCTGATAAATGATCATGTAAAATGGTAATTTTAGGAGAAAAATTAATGTTGCTCTTCAAGATAACAATAAGCACTTAGTAAAAAAAAAAAGTACATACATTAGGAACAGAAAAGACTAATTTATTCAATTTAGCATACATTGTAAAGTTCAGGATGAAGACAATAAATGATGAAACCAGATTAAAGCTAAGGCATTAAGCTAGTTCATCTGAGATTCTCAGGGAATAAAAAAAATCTTTTAGAAGAGGCAACCTAGAGATTGAGAGAAAATATTTCTGAGTCACTTATCTGATAAAAGGTTAATATCCAAAATAAACAAGGGGATCACACAACTCAATGGTAATAAGATGAATAATCCAATTTTTAAAAGGGCTAAAGACCTGGATAGACATTTTTCTGAAGAAAAAATGAAAAGCCAATAGGTACATGGAAAGGTGGTTAACATCACTAATCATTAGAGAAATGTAAGTCAAAACCATGATGAGATGTCACTTCACACCTGTCAGGATGCCTTTTGTCAAAAAGACAAAAGCATTGGTGAGTGTATGGAGAACAGGAAAACTTTTATACAGTTGATGCAAATGTAGGTTGGTGTGTCCACTGTAAAAAAAAGTATGGAGAATCATTTAAAAATTACAAATAAAACCACTATATCATTCAGTAAACATTTTACTGGGTCTATTCCCAAAGGAAACAAAATCACCACTTTGTAAGATTATCTGTACTCTCACGTTCATTGCAGCATTAATTACAATGTGGAAACAAGCTATGGAAACAACTGGAATATCCATGAATGGAAGAACAGATAAAGAAATTGTAATAGATATGTATTATACACACACACACACACACACACACTCATACACATACGTACATTTAACAAAATGTTATTCAGTATTAAAGAAGAAGATCTGGGCCATTTTCAAAAACTTGGATAAACTAGAGGACATTTAGGACTAAGTGAAATAGGCCAACTGTAGAAAAAAAAATACTGCAAGAGCTCACTTATTTCCAGACCATAAAAAAAAGGGGAAGGGGCAGCAGGTGTCATGGTGGTTAGAGTGCTGGATTAACACATGGTCTACTGTGGCTTGAGTCCTGGACGTGGTGCCTTGCTTTTTCATTTTCCCTCTCTCTCTGTCTCTCTGGTCAATATTAAATATACAGTAATAATAATAATAACGATAAAGTAAAATTAAATAAATCTTTTTAAAAAATAAATTAAATAAATTAATAAACATATAGAAGTAGAGTAGATTAGTGGGTACCAGGGAAGGAGGGGTGAGGATAAGGAGAAGACAAAAGGGGAGTGAGGAGATGTAGCTCCAAAGGTACAAAGTTGTAGTTAGTAAGAATGAATAACTCTAGACATCTAATGTAAAACATGAGGATTGCAATCAATACTATTGCATTGTATACTGAAAATTTGCTAAGATTGCAGATTTTAGGTACTCTTACTATGAAACAACAAAAAGTATTATCATTTTATTCAAAGATGAAGGAAATTACTATGACTC